AAAATCAAATTAATTTTATACTACAGTGTAAACTCTTTATAACGAATTTCAAGGGACCGAGCATTTTTTTCAGTATATAGAGTTGTCGTTATAGGAAGGGAATAGAAAAAAAAATTTAGTCAAGTACAATAATTTATAATTTTATTCCTATCAATAGGTAAATTATTCTAAATACATTACGCTTTTCTTTTACTGGCCACCTTGACAGTTTCAAAATGTGTTTACGACTGATAATACACGATAGGTGACGGTGGTGCGTTTAGTAACTGGGACCAAAATTTCCTACAGGCAATGTCATCTGAGAATAATGGCACACGTGTTAATACAATCCACAATAACAAAGGCGAGACGGCTGTTTATGACCTTAGGTGCGCTTACACGAGGGCAATAATTGCTCGGCGAGACGAATGGACCGATCTGGAGCAATTAATGGAGCAATTTCAATAAATTGCAATAAATTATTTCGGCTCAATGTCGCAGATACGAATTGACGAATATCCAATGGACTTGGAAATTCCTAGCAATTTTTGTATATGTCTCATTTTTTTTTTTTTTTTTTTATGTAATAGGAGGCAAACGGGCAGGAGGCTCACCTGATATTAAGTGATACCGCCGCCCATGGACACTCACAATGCCAGAAGGCTCGCAAGTGCGTTGCCGGCCTTTCAGGAATTGGTACGCTCTTTTCTTGAAGGACCCTAAGTCGAATTGGTTCGGAAATACTTCTGTGGGCAGCTGGTTCCACATAGTGGTGGTGCGCGGCAAAAACTGCCTTAGAAAACGCTCTGTTGTGGAACGACGGACGTCGAGGTGATACGGATGGTATTTTGTATTTTGCCTTGACGTCCGATGATGAAACTCAGCTGCAGGTATTAGACCGAACAACTCCTCTGAACACTCTCCATGGTAAATGCGGTAGAAGATGCAGAGAGATCCCACATCTCTACGCAACGCCAAGGGATCAAGCCCCACGGAAAGTGACTGGTCGTCGACGATTCGAACCGCTCTTCGTTGAATACGGTCAAGTGGAAGGAGCTGGTACTGGGGAGCTCCCGCCCAGAGGTGAGAGCAGTACTCCATATGGGGCCGAATTTGCGCTTTATAAAGTTGCAAGCGGTGGCCCGGAGTGAAGTACCGTCTCGCCTTGCTGAGCACACCAAGCTTTTTGGAGGCTAATTTAGCCTTTCCTTCCAGATGACCGCGAAACTGAACGTTATTCGATATGTCAACGCCCAGTATTCCGATGCTAGCTGAGGCTTTAAGGAGAGTGTCTTCAAAGAGGGGAGTAGCGACAAAGGGAGTTTTTTTAGCGGAAAACGTGCATACTTGTGTCTTCTTGGGGTTAAATTGGACTAGATTTAGTCTACCCCAGTCCGAGACTCCACGTAGAAGAGTTTCGACTTCAGACACAAGTTTGTTCCGGTACTCATCGACAACAGCCCGAGAAATACCTGCCCGGCCAGTGTAAAAAGTATCCCCAGTGCTGTCGTCCGCATAGCAATGAATGTTGCTAAGCTGCAACATATCATTGATATGCAGAATAAACAGGGTCGGGGATAGGACACAGCCTTGTGGGACACCAGCATTCACAGGTTTCAGGTCGGAGCATGCTCCGTCGATGACGACTTTGATGCTCCGATCAGCGAGAAAGCTGGAAATCCAGTTGTCTCATTCGCACTTGTTTGTTTTGCGGCTTGCCGTCTTGCTTCCGCGGGGAGAACGAGAGGTCTAAATAATAATAATTTGTAATTACTTTATTCAAAAGTAATTCAAAGTCTGTTCGTGACATTCTAGTAAAATTTTTGAATAATATATCATCTAATGAAACACAATGAAAATTGCGGCCTCTTTGCCAAAAACGATCGCACCCAGATACGCCTATTCCTTTTCTTTCTTTTTTGTTTTTGATTAATAATAAAAAAAGCGCTACAAGCCGCCGCAGCAAGAACAGTGTCATCCATAGCGAGCGAATACTGAAATGCTCGTGTAGGACAGTATTGCCTAGTTGATGAAGTTGCGCCAAATCGCTCAATATTGTATTGCGCAGTATTGATGCTTGTTGCCGTTGCCGTAAATTGCTTGATGTAGTCGTGACGTCATAATTGACGAGTATTGACTGGAATTGAGCAATTTTAGTTGCCCGTGTAAGCGCACCTTTAGGTGTCATCTTAGAAATTTCGAAACTTCAAAAGTTTAGTTTTGTAAGCTGTTGATGTCTAAATATGACAATATTTCTTCGTAATACAGAATAGCTGTTGCGTTATAAAGAATGAATTAATGTATGGGTTTTGTGTTAAACCAAACAAATGTAACAATTGTCTATTTATTTGATAAATATCAGACGATCAGCGTCGGGCGATAAAGAATACGTTGACTTTGCATTTTTTTAAGAATATATCGTATTTAATAGATCATTTTGTCTAAGAGACGTAACAATACGGGATGCTAGCTGTTAAGTTGTCAGTAGTCTAATCACTTCTAATCATACAGACTACGGCACGTTTATTATTTTCCTCGACGTTTTCCTTCATCTTCATTAATGCACAGCCAGATCTCGAACCCTCAACCTCTGGAATTACACGCTCATGCGAATTGACTCCAGTATATTAAAGTCCAAGAATTTTTTAAGTTCTGCCCTGCGATTCTGTAACTCACTTTTCGAACTCACACAGCGGTTTTCGGATCGGCGGTCGCTCTGAAATCAGTCGTGAAGCAGTCATTTTATGATTTGACATTCTAATAAACAATAAACTACAAGCTCCCACCTTCTCAGAATGCCAAATCATAAAATGACTGCTTCACGACTGATTTGAGAGCGACCGCCGATCCGAAAACCGCTGTGTGAGTTCGAAAAGTGAGTTACAGAATCGCAGGGCAGTCCTTTTTAAATACCATTAACTTGTACAAGCCTATCGTATATTTCATTCCCAACGGGGCCATTTACTAAACTAAGTCTTAGGCAGTCTCAAGTAAATCATGGTTTAGGCTGAAACACACCCCAGGGATTCAAACAAATTGAATTATTGGGTTCTTCGCTTTATTAAGATATTCAAATTAATAACTTGCTAATGCTCGAGGAGGATTATTAATTAAATCAAGATGAGCGCAATTCTTAAAAGACCACGAGTCTTTAGCAGTATTATCCATAGGTGTAGCTGTAACGTAGCTGTAAGATAATAGTAATTGACTAAGCTAACCTCAGATTATACTTATTTAAAGATATTTCTGATAAATATATTTGTATCTTTCTTCGCCCGTTTTCCAACCAAACCAAAAATCTTTAACCAAAAAGGAGGTTCACTATCAATTCAAAACTTTATACACTAAAAATCTTCCATAGGCGTCGGATTGTCTCTCTCCCTTAAATATGGCGAGGAGGCCGATGGCTGACCATGCGTCATGCCCGTGAACGGGTGCTACTTGTGGTGACTGGTTGTACTTGAATTCGTGTATGCGGTGATGTTAGTTATTTCGACGATGTGTTTGCGTGTTGTTCCCACGAGAATGTAAGTGTGTGCTCCTATTTCACCGTGCCTCCTGCTGATAGAGGACAAATCTTTGTTTTTCATTTATCTTATTATTATTTATTACGCATAAAGCATCAGTCTTGGCGATTAAAATAGTGACGGAGAGTTTATTGCTAGCTCTTTTCTTCAGTTCTACGCCCTTGATTTGAGAACTGGAAGTAAATGTATAATTAGAAGCATTTCATTAATTTTTTGACGTGAAAATTGTGTTACCTTTATGAATAAATGATTTTTTGACGTTGACTTCTTCAGCGACACCTTCTGAACCTATCCTATGCTGAAACGAAAAGTATTCTTCATGTGCAACTAGTTTAATTATCAAATTGTAAGTGTTCTGTAGAATTAAGTCAAGTTCCTAAAATCATTAATATGTCAAATCGAAAAGACTAGCTGGCCACAACACAGGGTAGTATAAAATTAAATGAAAATGTATAACTTGTTATACAACATTTCGTTTATACAATATAATTTATATTTAAAAAAATGTGTGCGTGTACTAGGTGTACACACGTAAGAAGTGAAACTTCTTTATGACCTTATTAGAAACTATTTCTTTAAACACAGTAAATTTTGATACACTGCCTAGCATACAATTTACAAATTGCGATTAGCAAATTTCAAGTCGAAAATGTAATCCGTTGTCAAACTTCAAAGTCAAAAACATACTATATGTCATATTTTAACGCCGATAAAGAAGTTTGACTTCGAAAAGCAACATGGCGCGTAACGGAAAAATGTGACGCGTAACGCAAAAATGTTACACTAAATTTTTTTCCAACCCCGATAAAGAAGTTTCACTTCAATAAACATTTATCATTCGCAACAATAAACATGTTTGTACAATACGTTATAAAGAGAAATTATCGTATTTATTTTCTCCTTGGAGACCATGTGTATTTATGTTGTGTAGTTTTAATTTATTTTAATCACTATCACCTACTTGCCTATTAGATTGACAAATAATCATAAAACAGAATCAGAAAACAGAGGTTCAGACCTTATAGATTGTAACGCCACTGATTTATATATTTTATTATATAAACGTAATTTCGTCATACTAGAGTCATAAGGTAAACGGGAGCTAATGTATGTCATCTATGTCAAAATACAATACAAGTTGGACTCAGCGCTAGGCCTCGTTTTTGAAACCCTAGGCTGCGCAAAAATGGACTTTCTTTCTATGTGCGCATTTAACATTTGCGTTAACTAAATTTAACATTAACAAACGGTGAAGGTAAACATTGTGAGGAAACCGACATGTCTTACACCCAAAAAGTCGACGGCGTGTGTCAGGCACTGAAGGCTGATCACCTACTAGCCTATTAGATTACCAAATGATCATGAAATCGGAAATCTGAGGCCAAGACCCAAAGAGGTTGCAGCGCCACTAATTGTTTTTAAATTTTTAATCTGTGTTAAAGGTAAAATATATATATAATAGTATAAAAAATAAAAACATTTATGTAACTAAATTTATTCAAGTGAAGGTATTGACCGCCGACATTCATCGAACCTCTTCAGCCAGCGTCGACCATTGGCTGATCTGTTCAACGGTGGTCGGCAGTTGTAGCCACCGTTCCCATTTATCATCATGTAGTCGTAGCAGTTGGTGACACCATCGCCATTGCAGTCCTGTTAAAACATTAAAATATAACTTACTAATCGAAGATCTTTACTAAACAGTTAAAACATAAGCAAGAAAAAACAAAGTGGACCTTAATGAAAATAAATCAATGGCGCTACAACCTTTTTAGGTCTGGGCCTCAGATTTCTGTATCTGTTTCATGATAATTTGGTAATCTAATAGGCAAGTAGGTGATCAGCCACCTGTGCCTGACGCACGCAGATTACTTTTTGGGTCTAAGGCAAGCCGGTTTCTTCACGATGTTTTCCTTCACCGTTCGAGCGAATGTTGAATAAGAAAGTCCATTGGTGCACAGGCGGGGATCGAACCTACGACCTCCGGGATGAGAGTCGCACGCTGAAGCCACTAGGCCAACACAGCTCTAATCTCTTACTTATTTAGATATTTTTATATATAACATCAAGTTATTATCATTATTTCTTTCAGAAATCTATTATTCGATCAGAAATCTAATTTAATTTCTGTATAATAAACTCGAAAGTTCACTCACTTGACCAAATTTTGATAAATATCCCCCGATTATTCGTTTTGCACAGCTGAATTCGCGGGCGCAATCTTCCCATGCTGTAATATAATACAATTAATATATGATAATTAAAAATTGATAAATGTAAAATTAACCAAAATTAAAAAGTTTGGTCCCTGTGGCAGTGTACCTTTAACGCTGGCGTTTCCTCGCTGTATTGCGATACTTATTCGTTGAGCAAGAAAGCACCAGCTTTGGGGTCACCGGTACTATCTACCAGTCGCCAACATTAAAGTTACACTGCTGCACTGTCACAGGGACCAAACTTTTTAAATTTGTTTAAATTTTCTATACCTATATATATTTATTTAATATGTGTAAAATTTAATTTAGTCAACATGATTAATTAACATGATAATTATTTATTATCGTTTAATATTCAAATGTGTATAAACGTCACCAAAATCTTATAATTTGTTTGATTATAAAATACTGAATGGGGAAATCAGTGTAACGGCTCAAAAACTAGTACATCGGCGTAGGCGTCAAAAGTCTCATTAAAGTTCGAAGTTTTTTTTTACTTTACGTAATTTCCTTAATTTATTTTATTAAAGCTCTCAAACATCACACATGTTAAAATCAGGACAATCAGATACTTATAAAAATATGTTATAGAATGGACATAAATGTGTGAAAATGACATGAGCCGGTGCTAACCAGATCCATGCAAGTTCGTAACCCGCCAGCATCCGTGAATATACAATGTAAATACATTATTAGTAATTAGGAATATAACAAGGGAAAACTGTAGGTTGACCCCGTAATAAATACAGAATTAAAATAATTTAGGAAACGTGTTAGGTCGTTGACTGAAGGAAGACACAAAATATAGACAATGTTACGTACTTTTTTTGTGTTAGGGTGTCAAAGGGTCTAATTGCGGTTGTGATGTTTGCCAAGATTAGATTAGAATTGGCCGAATGTGTATAGAATACGCAGCTTCGTTATTACTACAAACATGGAATAGGAAGATATTTCGGAATGTCAATATTAAAATGATTGATACTATAATCTGTGGTCCCTAGTAAGTTAATAATTAATATTGGTAAACAAATTTTGACATTAGACATCAAAATTATAAACAAATCATGTCTTGATTCAATTTGACAGTTTTCGTAACTTTTGCCAAATAAAGTGTTCTACGGTCTATAACAGAGATGTATTGCAAATTGGTACAATATCAATAAAACTCTAAAATCTAAAATAACAAATACTAAATTTAATCTATAAATAAAACAAAAACTAATTTGGAATTCAATTGAATAAATGAAAGGTATAGACTTCAAACGCGAAAAGCGTGAGCCGTCACAGATAAGTAAAAGAGTAACATGCCATAGACTATACAATTTCGCGGCTTTAGTAAATTACAAAATGTGTGTTTCAATATTCTGTGCTTGCAGTACGTACAAAAAATTTTGGTTCAGAATAATATCTAAGACTTATGTGTGTTATTTTAGCGTTTGCAGCGTAAGATAAAAATTAATTAGTTACCATGGTTCCTCTCTGCGTCGTCTTCAGGTAGGGTAACTCGTCCAGCATCGACCCAGTACACTCGTGATATATTGAAGGGGCCACAGTAGCCGCCCGTACACTGATGCGATGTGTCACATTTCGTTGACACATAACACAGACAGTTGAAGCATTCACTTGACAGGTTCGGGATGAAAACACCTGAAAATATAATATATCTTTAAATATTTTAAATAAACGCCATTATCATGATCACTGTAATATATTGCAAAAACCTCAAAATCGTAACATTTCACAACACAACGGGATTCAAAAAGTATTTTATAACAAAAAAGCATCTTCCACGCAATTTTTAATAATTTTCAATTTTTATTTTTCACCAGAAGATTCTTTTGAGTTTTCGATATCATTATTAACTAAGAAATCTTAAGCTATTTACAATAATCTCATTAATACATAGAATCGATTTATAAGCAATTTCAAAGTATTATGGATAATTTATTTGCGCACGTCTTTGCGTAGATTGCATTCAGAATAAAATTATGGATCAATTAAAATACCATTATTTCATTAGTTTTGTCTATGTGGATGTCTTATGTAGTTTTATTTTTTCACAGTGGTTGTACTGTATTTCTGTATACTTGCAACGAAATTTAAATAAATAAATAAATTTAAAAGCGTCAATAATAATAAATAATGCTTTTACATTCACATAAACTGTTAGGGCCCTTACTCTAACTTCGAATAGTGATACCAACGATTCCGGATCCAATAATGAGTCTTCGTTCCGCGATCCCTCCGATCAGCGCTACGGTTATTGAGAATACAACCTACAAATATGTCGGGATCGGAATCGCTGTTGCAAGTTACAGAGTAGCAGCTCTCAAATAATGGACATGGAAGAGAAGATCTGGTAATAAATTATAATTTAACATTCTCGTTTCCGATAATGTCCAATAACATAAGTGTTACTTAGATTTAAGAACTCTTCAATAAGTCAAGTTAGTTTGTTAATTCAACGTCGCAACCCCACTACCCCTAATGTTAGCTTAGTTATAAGCTCATGTTTTAAACAATTAAAGCCAGTTATCCCGCTCCAAACAAAGTGTTTCATTTAATAAATATCTGAACATATAACATCAACCGCGACCGAACTTTATCGTGCAAAGAAAATCAATCCAGCAGTGCCCCAGTGCCTAGACCTCAGGGTGCCTGATGGTTAAGTTATGAGGCGACATCGACCACCGCTTTTATTTCTCTCGACGAATACTAACCTCTCAAAAAGGGCATGCCACAATGTATGGAAATAATTAACGAACTGCACAGATTTGGTTTGATTCGTGTATATAGTTAGTTTATAATAGTTAGACTTTTTTTGTAAATATCTTAATGTTGTATTGGTTTTTATATGTGTGTAATGTTTTGTGATGTAAATGTGTGTGTTTTTTCTACAAAATCTTTTCCCACAATGAATAAAAATCTTTCCTCTTTGTGATTTTCCTTATATTTATCTAATTATCAAATAAATCATGCCAAATACAAAAACCCAAAGGTCAACTCACCTATTGAGCTGGTCCAAAATGAAAAAACGAAGATGACGCTAGCGATTGAAATGACTTTCCTGAACATTATTTGACTTAATATTCGATATGGAAGCTTTGGGAGGCTGTAAAGGAGAAAAATAATAATAATAAAATCTTTATTCGTGACAGAAATAGGTTGTGACAAAATTCCACTGTCCCCACTAGGGAGCCCCTAGTGAGCAACTAGATCCCTTGCCCCAGGGAACAAAGTTTTTAAGCACTATTACGACTGTTTTAATGTTTTCTCATTTTTGACTTCCTTGGGTAATTTTTTCCAGAATTTTTTCAAAACATTTACTATTAAATAGTAAATTTTTTGTTTTAAAAAATTCCGATGTCTTTATTTTACGGTAATTTTTTGCACAATGTTAGTAATACTCGTTCGCCCAGTTTTACCTCCGCTAAAATAGATCGCAAAAACCATAAAGATAGTTTTAGTTATGATTGAAATTCTACAAAATAATCATTAAAGTCACTGCGACAGTTTAAAAACAAATAAAGAGTGGTAATAATATATTTCTGTTTCACCAACGTAATAATATTTCCGCGAAAAGAATGGTATAGATTAATACGTTCTAAACATTCGTAAAAATATGTATTTCTATATAGGACGCATACTTGTCTTTTGCCTTAGATTTTATCTGCTTAAATGTGTCTGACATTGACATTTGATCCTTTTTTAAGATCTCATTGATATCATGTTACGTCAAACTATTGACAGATTGACGTAATTGTCTAAAAAGTAAAAGTTTAATAATCATGAATATTATACATGCAGAGCAATGCTCCTTGCCTAGCCTTGTTTTCATAATATTATAACTTCTTTAGAGCCCATTCTGTACTTATAAAAAAATAAAATTCATTTACGATCTCCGCCATTAAGTTGTGGAATACGCTGCCTGACTCCGTACGATTGGATACCTCTCTGTCATCTTTTAAAACTCTTCTGTATAATCATTTCTTAACCTTATCCTATCCTCATCAATCGTGACTTGTATAATTCTTATGATTCCTTTTACATCACTATTCGCTGTTCATGTATTTGTAAGATTAGTTTTTAAGTTTTTAGTTTGTTATAATTTTTTTTTTTTTTTGTATTACTTTAGATTAAGGATTTTGCACTTCTCGCACGCATCGTGGGTCTTTTTTTTTAGTTTTTCTCTTAACTAGGGTTGCCTGGAAGAGATCGCTTACTAGCGATAAGGCCGCCCGTTGCATCCCTTATAATTTTTATGTATTGTGTTTCTTATATTATTAGCAACGAAGTGTAAATAAATAAATAAAATAAATGTGGCGCTACAACCTCCTTAGGTCTGGGCCGCAGATTTCTGAATATGTTTCATGATCATTTTTAAATCTAATAGGCAAGAAGGTGATCAGCCTCCAGTGCCTGACACATGCCGTCGACTTTTTGGGTCTAAGACATGTCGGTTTCTTCACGATGTTTTCCTTCACCGTTAGAGCAAATGTTAAATGCGCACATAGAAAGAAAGTCCACAGCCGGGGATCGAACCTACGACCTCAACACTGCTCCATTCATCATCATCATCTGCTCATTCTGTACTTTTACGTCATAATATATGTTGGATACCTACTATAACTTTGACAATGACAGGTTCGACAGTTAGTAAGCTTTTTGTAGTGATGAGTAGTCAACCAAGAATGCAATATGCAGTTGGCCTTGCGTTTATTATATAAAAAATGCTTGTAATCGATATTAACTATATTATTTATATGTACTAGGAAGCAACTACTTCAATTACGTAGTAATTAATGACACAATTACAGAACGGATTGGTTCGAGATAGGACGGAGAAATTAGACCGTTCCTGTAACTCGGATGTACTCCACATATGTATGTTCCATTTCGCAGTTCAATAGCTACACTTTGTATCACTTAAAACAATTCAAATGTGTGTATATGTGTACACAACATTCAGTTAATTAAATTAATATGCTTTTATTGGCTAAATATATATTTGCATGCAGTAAATATAATTATTATAATTTTATGCAAGCTTAATGAAATATTAATCATGGCTAATCGAAGCTAGTAATTCTTTTGTGTGTATTAATTTTTAAATAAGCTCAAACTACAGCCATTAATCATAATAAACAATTCGCCTACACTTCAATATTTTTGTGTTGATTTTCAAAATGAAATAGGACAAAACATTCATCTAAGTTTAGAATTTACGTTGTAAAACCAAAGTTTTATTATAAACAGTTCCCAACAGTAAGTTATAATCAATGCAATTCTAATTACTTGTAATTGTGTTACTTGTAACAAACTTGAACTTACCTTGGTGTTTCGCACAAAAAACAATTAATATATGCAAGGCAGCGAAGCGACGTCGGTCAATGTATGAAACGAAATAAAGACTAAATTATTAATATTGTTATTGTATCTGGTTTGAAACTTGATCTACTTGATTCAAAGGTACATCGCCACCGCTTGCAGTAAAAAAAGAACTTATGTAGAAAAGGTATATTGCAGGTATAACTGGTTTAATATGCAGTAAAAAGATATCGTTTATATGAGTAATTTACTAGGTGTCTTTCAGCATTGATATTTCAAAATATTTTGATAATAAACATAGCTTATGTCGAATCCAAACAGGAAAAGTTTTTAAGTTTTTTTTCCTATATTGTTACATTTTTGCGCGGAATTCATGTGCGGTGAAGGAAGGAAAGAGTCTTTTAACGAATAAGGACGACACGAAAGTTTGTGTAGATTGTTAAAATACGGAGTCTCTTACACTTTAATCTCTGACAGTTTTTGTGTCATCATCGATACAACTTGTTGCAGCTTATAATGATGGGAAAAATTCAAGGAGACGGGCTAATAAATAATAATAACAAATCGTTTATATGCAAAGACAGTGGTACAGTCAGATTGATTAATTATAAAAAAAACGCACAACTAGCCATATAAAAATAATAAATAAATAAATCAGTGGCGCTACAACCTCTTTAGGTCTTGGCCTCAGATTTCTGTATCTGTTTCATGACCATTTTTAAATCTAGTAGCAAGTAGGTGATCAGCCTCCAGTGCCTGACACACGCCGTCCACTTTTTGGTAGACCCAAGATATATCGGTTTCCTCACGAGTCACGATGTTTTCCTTCACCGTTCGAGCAAATGTTAAATGCGCACATAGAAAGAAAGTCCATTGGTGCACAGCCGGGGATCGAACCTACGACCTCAGGTATGAGAGTCGGACGCTGAATCCACTAGGCCAACACTGCTCTGCCATATAAATATAAGAACAGATATTTATAATTGTTGTCAAACTTATGGTCTAAATACTATCCCATTAAAAGCACATTGACTTTTAAATTTAATCAGCTTCCCCTTGAAAACATTACACGGCAGTGATAATTCTAGGAAGGTGATTAAATAGTTTGATAGCCATGGTGTAACGGTTTTTTGTATACACTATGGTACAACATGCAGGCACCCACAGCCGTGGTGGATCCCTCAGTAGATACAGAAAAGTTTCTTTAAGTTTTGAATATGGTGTGAATAGCACCAAGTCCGTACATTATAGCGTAGATTATGCATTCAGCGCGCTTACAATAACTCTTGTTATTTCCCCCCAAGGCTCGCTTCCCGCTCAAATTCACTCTGCGTTCCAGAATACCGAATGAAACCTCACAAAGGTCTTCATACAAAGAGATTTAAATATAACATAGATTACCTGAGTACTATGAAACTGTAATCAAAAATTTTCAAATTATTCTAGTGCGGAAAAGGACGCTGGACGAAAATGTACTGTAATGAAATTTTTGGTTTTATTTTTTGGATTTTCTTTATACTGGCTGACCCGGTAGACGTTTCGCATTATATTGGGAAAATGGAAATTGGTAAATTGGAGTTGGTGACAGTGAAACGGTTATACGTATTTTTAAATCATAAAAAAAAATATACGAAAAAGTTTATGGAGTGGGAGAAGCATTCAAATTCTGTACGAATTTTATATTTACAAAAGGAAAACGTAGGTTAAACGTAGGTACTTTAAATAAAAAATAATAATTAATTCATACTCGAATATTATTGATACTAAGATGTCCTACATCAACTCCATATCGCCTTTACTTAGAAAAAGATTTTTGAAGTTATACTTCTTTAGGCGCGTTATGAAAAATTGATGAGAGTGAAATTTTACGATGCGCGCCCACCGTGACACAAAATTAACAGAATGAAGTTGCCCACGGAAGATGCTACGGCATTGGACTTAATTTAAAAACAACATTCGAATAATAATATAATTTATGTTTCACTTAATGTAAGAGAATAATAATAAATATTTATTTATTTAATTTTTCAAATGTAAACTGAACTTTATTGACTATAATGACTCCTTTTCCAGTCTTTGATTATTTAATTGTAATTAATTATTTGCATGCAATCAACAACTATTTTTAATAATGCCAAAGAAGTATAACTTACGCGCGTACATAAGTACAAGCACCCTTTTTTTTAGTACTGCCCTGCGATTCTGTAACTCACTTTTCGAACTCACACAGCGGTTTTCGCATCGGCGGTCGCTCTGAAATCAGTCGTGAAGCAGTTATTTTATGATTTGGCATTCTGATAAACAATAAACTACAAGCTCCCACCTTTTCAGAATGCCAAATCATTAAATGACTGCTTCACGACTGATTTGAGATCGACCGCCGATGCGAAAACCGCTGTGTGAGTTCGAAAAGTGAGTTACAGAATCGCAGGGCAGATAGATACAGTATTTACAATTATTAATAATAACGATAATTAAAAATTAATCAAAACAAAATTAAGTTTTGAATAGTGTGTTATGTATCAAAAAAAATTACTGAGACAACCATCTAAAAAGGGTTAACATACGATTAAAACCACAAATAAAATAACTTAATGTAGAAATATTGAATGAAACTATTTTATTTCAAATATAGGACAGGACGCTTCAAAATGTAATTTTAAATGTTTCCCAAATACACAACCCGAAGGAAACCAAAGACGGAAGTTATTACATTGACGTGTCAATTTTATTGACCCTCAAAAGAT